ACAGGGAGGTGGTGAGCTGGACATAAGCACTCCATCTCTTTCCTCGGGTTGCACTGGAACTCTCCCTGAAACTCCTACATTTATGGTTCTCAGCAAGTGTGCACTCCATACTCAAACTATTGTGGCAAAACAGACATTCCTCCTTCGGCATATTTTGGTCTTAGTATTTCAGCACACAAACTGAGAAAGTACCTTTGGCACAGCTTCCATGGAGAGCTACTAACCACAGTGGCAGGCTTGGCCATTTGGTAGTGACATATACTGAAAAGTGTTAAGTGTAAAAGACTGCCTTCAAATGACAGAGCCAGAAGCAAAGAATACACAACCTGACAGGAATCACCATGATGCCTTTGAAAGAAAAAAACCCACAGAAACCTCCTGCTCCTCCTGCCATTTCCTTGTTTCTACTGTTCTTTCCCTCTCCCTTAAGCCTCCCAACCACAGGGTGTAACACACCACTCCAGGGACCCACTCCCAAGAGTCAGACCAGAAATGCTGTCATCTAATTCCAATTCTGTCTTCAATCTCGACACTTTTGGTAATCACAGGGTCACTCTTGAGAGGACTGACATCCAACCCATCCACATTACAGGTGTCTGGGAATAGGTAATAGAGAGGGTGGCTCACCTGTTCCAGCCTGCAGCAGGTGAAGTGAGAGTGACCAGACAAGACTGAGTTAGCTTTTCCTCTCTTTCTCATACTCAGTGAGAACAAATAGCGAGTCTTATATCTAGTTTTAAATTCTGTGGTTGAATATCAACCAATGAAGTACGCAAATTAACAATATTTACATAGAAAAGTACTAATAATATATTCATAGTTTTACATGTATAATAACACTATCCTCTACAACTATGAAACATGATTCATTCTTTCATTTCCACAGTACCTTCTATTTCATCTTTTGACTTTTCTGTACGAGTTTTGTTTAGGAAGTGACATCCTTCATCATCCATCACCACAAGAGTACCCCTCCGTTGCAGATTATTCACGAGATCGGAACCTGGAGATGCATTCACAACAGAGACAATTTTCAGAGTTACAGTGGTAGTTTGGGAAGATCACAAAGTGCATTATATACACCAGGATGCATTACACTTCATGTCAATGTGACAATGTACAGAGAAGAGAACCAGGACTCTATTATGTTGTTGTTGTAGTACCTGGTAAACAGCATCAAAATCTTTCTTAGGGCAACACAAACAAAGTGAAATTTAAACACCCTGTCACTCCTGTGTGGTTTCCCCCAGGATGCTTAATATTTGACTCTCTATGAGAGTTCATTGCGAAATATATGAGTGCACAGATATGTATGAATATATATAACATAATATATAGTGTAATTTATATAGTACATCTTATTTATATATAATGTAATATATAGTGTAATTTATGCTCTCTCTCACTTTTGAGTTGTGTTCACTATGATGCTGCATACTTGACACCCTATGACAATTCTCAGTTAAAAGGATATGAATATGCAAGTGTATATTGCTTTGTGGTGTCTGTTAAATGATAGAAGAGTCAGCTACATATGAATGAATTTATGTAGAATGAGGTTTCAGCAGGTTACTCATACACAAATGTATACACGCACACACACACACACACACACACACACACACACACACACACACACTCTTACATAAGCTAGCCCTTAAGGAAAAGCACATATACTACAGAATTGCTTTGTGGTATCTCTTATATGACAGAAGAACTAGCAGCACATGAATACATTTAGATATGGTGAGGTTTTAGTTGGTTATTCATTTACAAGTGTATATCTTCACACAAACACACACACTCACACAAGCTATCCCACAAAGAAAAGCACTTATACTATAAAATTGTCTTCTGGTGTCTATTAAATGACAGAAGAATCATCTACATATGAATGAATCTAGAAAGCATGAGGTTTCAGTTGGTTACACATGGGCAATAGAGAATGTATGCATTTTTACTGTTTACCTAAGAAGCTGTAGGGGGGTCCTAGCTTAGTAGAAACATGTGGTCTTCCTCTAAGAACTTCAACCTGACTGGTGCTTTTCAGTGAGTGATTGGCTGATCAGAAGACCACATTGAGATATTTTCTAAAAATGCTCAGTTTCAAAGTTACTCAAAACCAAGGTGTCATATTATGGTTGGGCTGAATAGAAACTTCCCTCAACTAGCCTAGCCTAGCCTGGACATGTCCTCATCATGAACTGACAAGAACAGCAGCCTGGTGCATTGGGAATATAATAAGCAGTGTGTGTTCACATCACTTGTAGGTGACATCCTTACTGACTCTCTGTATGCCCTTTCTTAGCTCCTGCTTAGATATGGGTACTTAGTCCAGGGCAGTGAGACTATACCATACCTGGTCCTACCTCCCTCACCAGTCCTACCTTCTCTCTGTATTTAAAAAAAAAAATTCTGGAAAGGTTTCTATTCTAGTCTAGCATGTAATTCATGCTACAGAAAAGAATGACCTTGAACTTTTGTTTCTCCTTCCTTCACTTCTCAAAGATAAGCATCAATAGGAATGAGCCATCCTGGGCACTTTTTATACAGAACTAGGATACAAACTCTGGGTCCTGGACACACTAAACATGTACTGAGCAACTGGGTTGAAGCTCCCATCCATATTAGCATAATAGCTCCCTTTAATCAAACCATGGCATACCAAACTACTGAAACCATAGTTGTACTATGCAGAAAACACTTAATATTGAGTCATGTGGTTCACTGCTAAAAATAGGTATCTACTCAGTATTCACACCCAGAATGTGGAGACTGACCACCACTCAGAGATAAAACTCATGGAGCATAGAGTATATCTGATTTTTAAAGGTATATTTCCTTTGGGTGTGGTAGCGTACTCCCTTAGTAGATAATGGCACCGGGTAGTGGTGGCACATGCCTTTAATCCCATCACTTGGGAGGCAGAGGCAGATGGATTTCTGAGTTCGAGGCCAGCCTGGTCTACATTGTGAGTTCCAGGACAGCCAGGGCTACACAGAGAAACCCTGTCTCGAAAAACCAAATAAATAAATGAATAAATGAATAAATGAATAAATGAATAAATGAATAAATGAATAAATAAATAAAGGCATTCTGTAGGCTTAGGCAGGTGGAGATGTGTGAGACCTGGGTCAGAAAGTTATATTCATAAACATACATACATACATACATACACATCTCTATCTCAAAACAAAACAAACCTCCAAATTTCCTAAAGAATGAGAGACAGCACTGATCAACACCTAGGTGGAGACTGGAGTTCTTACTTGACCATGTGCATAAATTGTGTTGCCCTTGTTGTCATGCTAATATTGTCCACCCCCTTAAGCCTTCCTGTAGACTTTATTGGAATGAACCATGGGAAACCCAATTGGGACACATCCACTCTACATTTCTGTGTACTGTGTTTCATTTTTAGGTCCTGTCACCTGAAAAGAAGTATGTGTGCTTCTATACCTTTTAAAACTCACTGTCTGCTGCCTGGACTAGGACTTCTCCCCACTCTAGCCATCAGGATAGTACTTGAGATCCTTATAGATTTGATATCTTGCAAGCAGATCCTAAAAACTGTAACTCGTCCATAGGGATTATTGTACCCTGATGAACTTAATGACCACAGATATATCCATAAGTTTTTATCTGCTGTGTTGTTTCTTCTCATTTTTTTATTAAAAGACACACACACACACACACACACACACACACACACCCCTAGAACCTTATTCTAATTATCTTAGAACACAGTGTTGCATCAGACAAAACACAACTAGTGTTTACAAGAATTCTTATCTAAAGACTGTCGTAGTAATTCCACAATACATACCGTCTGTACTTTCTCTAAAAGGTACCTGCAATTGAGAGGGAAAAATACTTTATACTCCATAATCATGCAGTGTAATATATGTAAATTGTTTTGATTGATCCATTTCTGAGTTGTAATGGCTATAAGGATGAAAAATCGCAGTCGAGTGATGACTATATTAATGGATACATTATTTGAGGTTGCCACAAATTATCTTGGCTCTGTACTTGTGACCAAAACAAATATCTTTCACATTTTTACTGATTCATAGGTAGATCAAACAAACCTGTGTGGCCTCTAGAGTGTCCCAAAACCTATGCCACATATGAAAACTTGTATTTTTCACTAATACATATTATATCTCTAGCGCCCATGATTTAGAAATAATTTGAGTATATGACGCAAAGTTTGGTGCATTAGAAGCTTACTGTGTGTGACATGTTGCTGTTAAGTGTTCAGTTGGTAAGTTCTTTAAAACATGAGGACTCGTGTAAACAGGAGAGACCCACTTGAAAGATATTAGTCTCATAAATCAGGACGTAAGGTTGCACCACACTGTGATGTATTGAATTCAGAGCAAGTTGGTACAGTCCCTCCATTTCATTCTCTTCCTAAGTAAATGCTTTACTACCTGTGATGCATCTGACTAGTGTCATGACTCAAATGCGATACCCACTGAAACATAAGGGAACTACTGAGATAAACGTTCTACCTTAGGGAAAGGAAAGCCTCTCTTACCTTAATCCTCCTTAATGGTGACTTTTCTTGGTTCTTGTCTGAAGTTGCATAGTCAGCACGTTTAGGTAATACTAGGGGAACAGAGAGTAACTGTCAGCTCCTGGTATTGCTTACTATTTACACTGGACTTTACTTGATGTGGGTAAAAGTGCATGGGCTTAGTATATGTAACTAAATATAGTGAATGAAATGGTCAGATAAAGCTGGACTGCCTTCTGAGAAGGTAAATAGAGTCAAAAAAAGGATTTGGAGAGAAATTGTTGGACCAAGCAAAAGAAACTTGCCCAAGTACTGTCATTTTGTTTTGGAACATAATTATTTTTCTTAACCACAGCTCCCATTATTCATCCTTTGTTCTCCAAAACATAATGGCTGTTTCTAACTATAGAATAACAAGTGAATTTGATTGGTTAGACTGTAAAACCTACATTCTGTATCAGTTTACATAGGTCAACCTGATAAGAAAAGCCTTTATCCTTTTGGTGGAAAAATGTAATGATAACTTGGCACAGATGCTTCTGGTTTGGAAGCTTAAATACTCTCTAATATTTTGGCTCAAGGTCACAGTTCAGCTCCCAAGTGTGTTCTGTGTCCCTGATTGATCAGTAGCAGCTTGATTGCAATAAATATTTGTCATGTGCATTGACCTGGTGTCTGAGTTGTATTGAATCTAAACACACTGCATAACATTTGATGCATTGGCCAGGAATCCAATCACACTACCCAGATCCCTGCTTTGTAATCATTCACATGAAAGGACTTCATTTTTAAGTCCAAAACCTCCAGAAGTTGGTTGGTGGCTATCTAGGACCCAAGAAAGGAGAAACTAGACAC